TTAATTTCGGGAATTCAAATATATCTTCAAAAAATAATTACTATTTTTCAAAGACATAATTTTTTCAGAATTTCAAAATTAAATCTTTTAAATTTCAATAATTTTTATAAAATAAATGTTTAAATACTTATTGTTTTTTATATGCTTAAAATTTTGAAATACTTTCATTGTAAAACCATTAACATTTTTTATGAAAATTAGAACAGCAAGTCTTCCAAAATTCAATTAAGTATGTACTTTAAAAAAAATTTTGAATAATATTATTCAAAACTTTATTTTTTTTTTAAATTCTCTTTATTCACTTATGTTATTAATTATAAATTAACCGTTAAACTTTCGACATAAACAATTATATGTATTTCTAAATTATAATTTTTTAACAAAACCTACAGTTTTTTTTAGTAAAAAATAAAACAAATTTTTCATAATTTCTATTTCTTATTGTCTTCTTGATTCATAATTATTTTTATCAAAAATCTCAGATATTTTTAGAAAGAAACAATTTTTTAATTGAAAATGAAACTGAAAAGTATAAAAGTATAGATTTTATTATATAAAATGAAGGAAAAAAGTTGCATAATTCTGATTTGTCAATCCTATTTTTTTGGTACCAATTCTTTTAATTTCTTTTGAAGAAAAAAATTTCTAAAATTTTTGTTTTTTAATCACAATTTTTTTACGAAATTATAATTTTTTTTAAACATTTATAAAAAAATTTGTCTATATTCCAAATTTTTTTTTCTTTTTTTGAAGAGGAAGAAAAATAAATAAATTTGGACCATTAATATTTCTTCATCACAATTTTTTTTTATTTTTTATAATTTTTATTTTTGGTACTTGAAGATAAAATTGAAAATTTTGAAAGTGTTTTATAACATAGTGGAAAAAAAAATTTCATAATTTTGATTTGTCAATCACAAAATTTTTAGTATTTTTTTTTGCCTAATTTCTACATCTTTATCACAATTTTCAATTTTTTAACAAAATACTCTTTAGTAATATATATGTATTCGTAAAAAGTGGATTTAAAATGAAAATTTTAAAAAACTTCTTTAAGGAATTTATCCCACAGACGCTATATATATATGACATATCATTAAACAATGCATCGGGATGTGCTCATAAATGTTTATAATTAGGAACCTTATGGCAGTTTGTCTCGTCGATCGGCGTCTTCCGATGAAGTCTAAACATTCATATGATTCATTGTTGATTTTACATCTTATTTTGACAATAAATAAGAAATAAATGAAATTCTTCTCAACCCATATATATATATATATATATACTTATACCCATCATAAGCAACAAAATATTTATCTAATGCAATTTTTAATTTTAAAAATTTAACATTTTAATTTTTAAATTTATAAGTTTATAAATTTATAAAAACAATTTTTTAAATTTATAAATTTATAAATACAATTTTTTAAATATTTAAATCAATGCAGAATTGATAAAAACTAAATTTGGCGATTTTTTCGGTTATAAACATAGGAAAAAAAATGTGGCGATGAATTTATTTATTAAGCAAATAAAGATGTATTTGGGATTTTCATCTGGTGTTTTTTGAATAATAAATGTTGAGCTTTCCAGACTTGACTTTTAATTGAGTCTTAAACAACTCAATCAACTCCTTCAAGAGAGTTCTAAAATAAACAAGAACTTCTAACAACCCTTTTGGGTCAATTTAAACACTTAAAAAGGTCAAATCAAGATGTATTTTTACATATTCTCTTCATTATACGCAGCAATTCAATTATTTGTCTAATTAAAATTATTATCTAATAGAAAGTTGACCTATTAAGAGTAAAAATTAATAAATTCTTTTTTCTAAAAATAAGTATTATTATTATTTCGGTCTGGCTAAAATTTTCAAAAAAGTTGTCACTGAAACATTTTTTTAACCCTTTTATGTTCAGAATGACGTCATAAAATTTGTAGAATTAAAATTTTTTCTAAGTTATAAACAATATAGTGAAATTTTTAACAGTAATTTCTTTCTTTTTCTTGTTAACCGATTTTAAAAAATAAAAAAGCGTTTTTTCACCTTAAAACTTAGAATTCAGAAATATTTTTTCTTTTAAAATTTTTTTTTTAATTATTATCAGAAAATACATATTATTTACAAAATTATATAATTAAAAGACAGTCTTCTTCTTTCAAAAATATCGCATAATTGCAATTTCTTTCTGAAATCAATTATTTCTTTATAATTTTTTTTATAAAATTATTCAAAACTTCAATTACTTTTTTGGAATTTTTTAAATAAAATTATTCAAAACTTGAATTAAACTTTTTTGGGAAAATCAATAAAAAAATTCCTACTATAACTCTTTAAAAGAATTATTTTTTTTAAATTTTAACGGAAATTCTTTTTTAAAACTAATTTCTATCGGAATTTAACTACGAGAATTATTTATTTAATGAATTATTTATTAATTATTAAATATTATTATTATTATTATTATTATCAAATAATTGATTATTTATAAAAAATTAGAACTTTAGCTCTATTTATGGTATTTAAAAAATTTTTAAGTTAAAAAAGAAAATTGTTTAAGTTTTTAATGTATCTCTCGTCGCGCAGTAATCGTCTCAAGCGCATAGTATAATATACACGTGTGGTATTATTTTTATTTCTTAAAATTTTGTTTTAATAATTTATTTGAAAATATTTTATTTATAAATTTTTTTTAACTAAATTGTTTTCCATTCAAATGGTCAACTTTGCTGGAATATCGCAGTAATTGATACACTTGTCCTATACATGTAATTAATTTTAAAACAAAAACAATTTTTTAATTAAGAATTCTGAAATAAATTCTAAAATTGTTGAAGAAAATAATAATTCTAAAATTATACCCAACAATTAGTCCTACAATAATGAATAATGTGAAATATATATAAGAAAGGCTGTGTTTTAATTTCTCTTTTAAAATAAGAAAAGAAAAAAAAAGTAAAAAAAAAGATTAATCTACAATAACTTATCCAAATAGTAAATGTTTATTCAACTTTGTAAGCTCAGAAAATTTATTATTTCATATACAAAGATTTCTTTTATGACGATGTTATTTTATCTTCCAGTCATAGATCCATATCGTTTACAAGATGAGATGAACTGAACCGCCTACTCCCTTGGGATTACATATTTCACGAGAAAAAAAGCAAAGTGTAAAAGGGGTGTGAAAACGGTGTGATTTTTGATTATATTTTTAAAATTTAATTTTAAAATTTTAAAAATTTAAATTTTAAAATTTTAAAATTTTTAAAAATTTAAAATTTTAAAATTTAAAATTTAAAATTTTTTTTAATTTAATATTCTGGTTTAATATTTAAATTTTTATTATACATTTAAAATGTATATTATAAATAAATTTATTATACATTTAAAATGTATATTATAAATAAATTTATTATACATTTAAAATGTATATTATAAATAAATTTTTTTTCATATTCACAAAAGTATAGAAATAAAAATTTTTAATGAAAATCATTAATAAATTTAAAAACGAATACTCACAAGATGAAATTAGATTAAAATTAGATTAAACGCAAATCCGATAGGAACCCATATGGGAATTCTATCAATTATACGAATTTAAACCATTTTTATGGGAACCAATCTAATTTCCCATATGGGTTCCTACATAGGATCCTATGTGGTGTTAAGGAACGTAGAAACCTACATGGGTTCCCATACATATATGTTTCCATATGGGTTCCTATTTTTATTTTTGTTAGACACGAAATATAATAACCATATGGGGACCCATATGGGAACACACATGTAGGTGCCTACAGTTCCTATTTAAATATATAATAACCCATATGGGTTCCCATTTAAATTATATAATTGAAATATAAAATCTATATCAGGTTCCTATATGGGTTCCAATTAACAAAATTTGAAACTATTATGGGAACACGCATATAGGTTCCCATTTGCAAATATAATAAACCCATATGAGAACCTATATATAAATATACCCATATATATTAATTATATATATTTTTTATTATTATACCTCACTGAATTATATACATCCAAATATATCGTATTTATTTTTGCATTTTATTTACATTTCTTCATTTACAAATAAACAAAAAAATTTTATGTATATTTTCACTGAAAAAAATAAGTCTCGCTTTAAATCTATATATAATTTTGGCTATAAAACAACTTATAAAATATATAGTCTAAATATTGTCATAATTTCTAATTAAAAAATTGATTTTAATATCTAAAGTTGACAATAATGTGTTGAATTTAAAGAAGAAACTATACATTTCAAATATGTGAAGATTTTGTTTTTATAATATTCGTGACTTTTTAGCTCGAATATATATATTTTTTTTCGTTATTTTTTTATACCTATTAGTGATAGAATAATGGTAAGATATTTTGGTATTTAAAAACATTTACATTATTAAATATTATTATTATATAATAATATTGAATATAACTTAAAATTTTTTTTTTTAATTATTTCATTATATATGACTACACTTTATGCACATTGCACATATTAAATATTGTGATTTCCTATGAATATTTTTATCATTATTATAGAGATTAAAACATATATAAAGTTTTGAAACAATAATACAATTTAAAATGCCTTTGGTTTTTATTAATTATTTTAGATCGACTTACTTTTTCTTATCTCTGTAATATGCTCTTTGGTTCATGATATACATATTATTATAAAAAAAACAAAAATTTACATACAAGATAAGTATTTTCTTTTTTAAAATATAAAACTATAACAATATTTTGCTATCTGATAAAGTACTGTGAAAAATTTATTTTTCAAATGTAGGTATAAAATTATAAATAATAGTTGGCATTTTTTTCTCCGCATTAAAAAATAAAAAAAAATATTTTCTAAACATATAAATATAAAAAAAACAATATATTTTTTCTACTTGAACTATATATACATTTATGGCACTTTATACAAATTTTATTGACTTTAGAAGAGAGAAAGAGAGAGAGAGAGAGAATTTTCTACGGGGAGTAAATTTTTTTTTTCGTTTACTCTAAACAGTCGAAAAATTAAATTTTTCAATAATTAAATTTGTCATGAATTTTTTTAAAAGTTCTATTGTAATTGACTCGATGGGGTTTCTTGTTTGAGCTCAAGAGCCCACATGTGTTGTGGCCAGCCAGTCCTTCCCTTACTTTTCGTTATTTCTTCATGTCCAACTAGCGACGTCCCAAGCATGGTATTCTCAGCCTGAAACATTAATTTATTTTCAAAATAAATTTTTAAACATAAAAATTCAATTTTAATGTAAATTTTAATATAAATTTTCTTATTTAAATACTGATATAAATTTTCTTTCAAATTTATAAATCTTCATTTAAGTTTTAACGCATAAATCACCATTTAAATTAATTATTTATTATACATGGATTATTTAATTTTGTATTTAAATAATTGAATTCTGATGAGAATTGATTTAAAAAAGAACTTTAGTTAAAATTTTAAAAAAGATTTTTAGTTAAAACTTAAAAAAATAATTAAAAATGCGTTAAAGTATAGAATTCTTTAGAAATAATTAAATTTCAAAAAGTTTTTTAATTGAAATCTTTGAAATTCTAATTATGTTGTAAAAGTAAAATAATATTTAAATATAAAAAATTATTAATTTGTAAGCTTCCTTAAAAATTAAAAGTTTTGATTAATATTATTCAAAAGTTCTAAAAGATAATTGCGAATTTTTGAAAGACTTGAAGTTTTAATTTTCATAAAAAATGTTTCAAATGGTTTTACATTGAAAGTATTTCGAAATTTTAAGCATATATAAAAAAAACAATAGGTAATTGTATTTAAACAATTATTTTATAAAAATTATTGAAATTTGAAAGATTTAATTTGGAAATTCTGAAAAAATTATGTCTTTTGAAAAATAGTGTAATTATTTTTTGAAGATATATTTGAATTCCCGAAATTAATATTTTTAAAAATAATTGAAATAGATTTTATATTTTAATGAATTTTATTATTGTTTACTTTTAAAAATTATTTTGAAATATAATCGTATTTTTAAAGAATTCTAATTGAAAATTTGAAAAATAATAAAAAATCAATCAATAAAATCATAAAATCAATTTTAAAAAATAAGTCCGCCATATTGGATTCGCCATTTTGAATTTTAAAAATATGAAAAATCTGACTTCAGTTTCTTAATCAGCGACCCTGAAAACGCCCTAAAGTGTACTCGGTTATATTAAATTCCTTAACTAGAAAATTGTATTTTCATAAATAAAAATATTTATCACAAGAATGAAATTATTTTAAAATATTTTAATAAAATTTATTGCATAATATCAAACATTTTAAAAAAAATTTCTTAATTTAATGATTTCTTATATTCTGTACTATTATATTTTAATAAAATTTCCCAAAAGAATTCAATTATATTAAACAAAAGTTTTGATAAAATTCTACACAAGCATTCAATTGAGGCTCCGGATCTTAAAAGGGCACTTTCAGCATTGACTTTAAATGGTAAAAGTGCCCTTTTAAGATCCGGAGCCTCAATTATTTTTGCCAAAAAAATATAAAAATTTTACATAAATTTCAATTATTTAAAATAGAATTTGCATAAATTTTTTCGAAAAAATCAAATATTTTAAAAATTCTTCGCAGTAATTCAATTATTTTCATAAATTTTTAAAATTCCTTTCAGGGAATTAAATTTTTTTTTCATAAATAATAAAATCATTAGGAGAAAGTCAATTATTTTCATATATATAAAATAAGAATATTCATCTCAAGAATTCAATTATTTTTAAAAGTATAATAAATTTCAAATTATTTTCAAAAATTTCTTTTAATTCAATAATTTGTATATACCTATATATCTATTATATTTTAATAAAATTTCCCAAAAGAATTCAATTATTAAAAAAAATTTTTGACAAAATTCTACACGAATATTCAATTATTTTCTAAAATAATGACAATTTCACTGGAATTCAATTAGTAAAAATAGAATTTGCATAAATTTTTTCGAAAAAAGTCAATTGTTTGAAACTTATATTATTATTCTTCGCAATAATAATTTAAAATTATTTTCGCATAAATATAATAAAACTCATTGCAGAATTTCAATTATTTTTAATAAATCTCAAATTTCTCGATAAATGCGATTATTCTTAAAAATTGTATTAAAATTCACCGAAAGAATTCGCAATTATTTAAAAATTTGTCAATCAAATATTCTTTATGAGAATTCAATTTTAAAGATTTAATTATTCAGTTCAAATATTTTTAAATAATTGAATTTTGAAGAATTTACTACAGTAGAGACTCCATTATCCGGACCCCTATTATCCGGATATTCGATTATCCGGACAAATTTAAAATAAAAATTTTTTTTTTAATATAAAGTTTATAAGGTCTCAAGCCGTTAATTAACTTCTATTTTAAATTTATTTACACGAAATGTTGCGTTTTAAAGTGTTTTAATTATTTTAAGAAAATGTTTATGTAAATATTTTGAAATATTTCTAACTAAATATTTATTAATGTTGACTTTAAAAGTTTTAGTTTGTTTCAGTCTTATTTTAATACATATGCAAATAAATACATAAAATTATGAATCAAAAATTTGTTTAATTCGTACTTTACTCGATTATCCGGATTTTTGATTATCCGGACAAGTGCCTGCATCCATTAGTCCGGATAATGGAGTCTCTACTGTAATAATTATGCAATTTTTGGAAATAAATTGAATTTTGTAAAAGGTTTAAAATTAAAATCTTCGAAAATTTGAATTTTTCATATAATTAAAAATTCTATACGTATAACTAATTTTCTTAAAAAGCTTAATAAAAATTTTTTTTAAATTATTTCAAATTTTTATTTTCCAATATTTTTTTCCAATATTTCCAATATTTCCATTATTTTCAACAAAAAGTTCACTAAAATCTTACCAATTGTTGCTGTGCTTTATTCCGTTTGCCAGTGGACAATATTTCCGCGCGAAAAGTCTGCGGCTCCTGACCCTCATCACTTTCCAGAACTGCCATCAAATATCCAATATAAGAAGCCGCCAATCTGAGTGTTTTAATTTTACTCAATTTCGTGTCGGCTGGAACATTGGGTATACAATCCCTCAAATCAGCGAATGCATTATTAATACTTTGCGTTCGTCGCCTCTCCTTTTTATTCGCTGTATTCCTCCTCTTGGGCCTAACAACCAGTCCACCTTCTCTAATTGCTGACAAATGATGTTGCACCGAATGATTTCCATTCTCCGACTGGAGAACCGCACAGGAAATGGAAAATTCATTTTGTCGTCTTTGTTGTTGCTGCTGCTGCTGATGTTGTTGTTGTTGTTGTTGTTGCTGTTGACTTTGGCATGACGATTCTTGCGGCTGGTAAATGAGACTAGAATAATGTTGATGCTGAGAATTAGTTGGATGATATGGATATTGCTCAAGGGGAGAATAAACTGTATCCTGAGCTCCAAGTTCTTCAATTAGAGGTGGTGTAGATGCTGCTGGACTACCAGCGCCGGAACTTCCACCCGAAATACCAGAGTCAGCGCCCCAATAGGAGTGGGCATCGACGTCGCTAATTCCAGCGTGATGACCTGAAATTAGAAAAAGAAAAAAATTAAGCGTGAGTAGGTAATTTATTCTTTCTTTTCACTTTTTTAAATGAATGCATATATCTTAAGAATATTCTGTCAAATATGCATTTTTTTGTGATCAACCAGTAAAAATACATACTAGTATACATCAATTTTTAGCTAATAACCTTTTTAAATTAAACAACTCATAAGAATATTATTATAAAACATAAAGAAATGGATCACTCCGAGTCTTCGACTCAAAATGATCCATTTCTTTACGTTTTATAATAATTAAATATGACCGACTGACAAAATCATTATAGTTTATTATTATAAGAATATTGTTATTGTAATTTCTTCAAAATTATTTCTATCATTTCAATTCAATTAACATTTTCTAGAATTTTCGACTAAAATTCTATACTTTAAGAGGAGACCCCACCTTTATTTTGACCCCTTTAAAATAAAATTATTAAACGAGGTAATATTTTTTTCCTGCATCATTTTTAACCTGAAAATAAGATGGTCAAAAATATTTAATTTTTGAAGAGGTTAGAATTTTTTTCTTTTGGCCTATTGCATATTATTGCAAATCCATGCAAGAAGTTGTTCAGAATGGTAAAATATGCATGGGAAAAAATTTTTGTTAAAAAATATTAAAAACTGTAAGAGAAGATCAATTTTTAATATTCAAATCTTTAAATTTTGCCGAAATTTCAAAAGCCTTAAATCTTTAATTTTTTTCCAAATTGTGTATATTTACGTAATTTGATGCTATTATTCAAAAAACATTGTTAAAATTAACATTTAACTCATAAAAACCATAAAAATCATAGTCCGAAGCTTTTATGGTATATACTTTATATATACCGAAATAAATGCAAAAAGCCAATTATTATTATTCAATTAACTTTTTTTCAAAAAACATTAATTCCACAGAATTTTTAGTTAAAAGTACGAAAAACAATAATATTTAATTCTACGAGAAATCAATTACACAGCCACAAAAAAAAAAAAAAAAAGTTCTGATCTGGGGGTCTCACTATGTAGACTTTATGTTTTTTGGGTCGCTGAATCCGAATCCGAGGTCCATTTAACCCCATCAGATCAGGATTTTGACACAAAAAACCAATATGGCGGACACATTTTTGAAAAGTTCATTGGATTCGCTTGAAATTCGTTACTCGGGGGTTTTTGGGGTCGCTGATTACGAATTTGAAGTCTGATTTCAAAAATTCAAAATGGCGGATCCAATATGGCGGACACGTTTTTGAAAAATTCATCGGATTCGCTTGAAATTCGTTACTCTGAGAGTTTTTGGGGTCGCTGATTACGAATTTGAAGTCAGATTTCAAAAATTCAAAATGGCGGATCCAATATGTATGTGTCAGCCATATTGGATCCGCCATTTTGAATTTTGAAAAACCGACATCAGATTCGTAATCAGCGACCCCAAAAACCCCAGAGTAACGAATTTCAAGCGAATCCGATGAATTTTTCAAAAACGTGTCCGCCATAGTGGATCCGCCATTTTGAATTTTTGAAATCAGACTTCAAATTCGTAATCAGCGACCCCAAAAACCCCCGAGTAACGAATTTCAAGCGAATCCAATGAACTTTTCAAAAATGTGTCCGCCATATTGGTTTTTTGAGGTTATGTCGAAATCCTGATCTGATGAGGTTAAATGGACCTCGGATTCGGATTCAGCGACCCAAAAAACATAAAGTCTACATAGTGAGACCCCCAGATCAGAACTTTTTTTTTTTTTTGTGTGGCTGTGTTATTTAAATACAAAAATAAATAATATTGAATGTTTCTTAAAATTTAATTTTTACGAAGAATTGTTATTAACAACTTTGGGGCCGTCCATAAACTACGTGACGTTCTGTAGAAAAAATGGCGCTAAAGCATGTAAAATTTGTGACGTGGGTATAGGGGGGGGGGGGGTGGAAAAATTATGCAAAATAGTGTGACGTAGTTTATGAACGGCCCCTTTTGAAAATATTTAATTTCTTTTAAGGAGTTTAATTAAAATTTTAATTAAATTTATTCTATTAAAGAATTTTATAACAAATTTTTGAAAATAATTGAAAACTTTTTGAAGAATTTTATTATAAATTTTTTAAAAATAATTGAATTCCTGAGAAGAATTTAAATAATAATTTTTTGAAAATAAATTCATGAGAAGAATTTTATTAAAATTTTTGAAAATAATAATTGACTTCTTAAGAAGAATTTTTTAAAAAAAATTTTTACAATAATTTAATTCTTGAGAATATTTCAATTCCTAAAAAAAAAATCGCTATTATTAAAAAAAAATGTTTTTTTTTAAATTCTTTGAAAGAATTCAATTTTTTACAAAAATATTATAATTTTTCACACAGGAATTCAATTATTTTCGCAAATATTTTAATAAAATTTGTTCGAAATTAATTAGTTTAAATATACAATTTTAGTTAAACTGGTTAAACTATTTATTGTAATAATTCAATTATTTTGAGGCATTTTAATAAAATTCTTTGCAAAATTCAATTTATTTCATAAATAACAATATAAATAAATAAATTATTTATTAATAATTATTTATTATAAATAATAAATTTCTTCATGGAAATTCAATTATTTTAAAAAAAATGCTAATAAAATCGTTCGCAAGAAGAACCATTCAATTATTTTTGAAAATTTTAATCAAATTCTTTGCAACTATTCAATATATTTTCATAAATAATAAAATTCATTGCAATGAATTTAAAATATTTTTAATACAATTTCACTGGAATTGATCAACAAATTTTTCAATTCCTCAAAAAATTCAATTATTTCTAAAAATTCACGCTACATTGCTTTTAATATTCAATTATTATCTAAAATTTTTAATGAAAATTCATTTTTCAATCAATTTTTATTAGAAATTTCTACAATTCAATTAATTAAAAAGAAAAAAAAATAATTGAATAATTTTTAAAATTCAATTCTGATAAAGAATTTTGTCAACAAACTTTTAAATAATTAAATTCTTTCGACGAATTTTAATAAAATTTTTAATAATAATAATTGCATTTTTCAAGGAATTTATTTAAAATTGTATATATTAAAAATATTTGAAGTTCTGCGATGAAAATAATTGAATTCGTAGGGGAGACCGGGGCGTAATGGCTAACTTTTCACTCTTTGTTGTTTTACTCGGACATTTTTGTTCTAATTGAATGTTTATCTTCCAGAAAAGTTACTCTGGTATCTCAGCTTTCTTTTAAGACTACAAACGTCCCGATATGACTCTTACTTTTTATTCTACAATAGTTTTTCTGGAGCAATGCAGAGCTCCAAAATACGGCCCGAGTCGGGGCGTAATGGATAACTCCCGGGGCGTAATGAATAATGATTGCTAATTATTATCTACAGTTTCCAATCTTATTGCATATTGTAAATTAAGGTTCCTGGGTATTCCGTGAATGCTATTTTTATTCAGCAATACTTCAACTATCGCTTTTTCAATAATATTCTGTGATATTGGCACTCTCTCAATTTTTTTTGTAATTTCTCATTAAAATCGTAGCTTGAAATCTACTATTTGTAAATTTTAGACCAAAGCTTTAAAATTTTGTTAAAAATACCTAAACATACTTAAACTAAGTGACAAGCAATCGCGAAAACAAACCTACACTTCGCCGATATGGTAGGTTGCTTTTTATACATAGCGTATTGCATTAGCCAACACGCCCCGGGAAAAACTAGCCATTACGCCCCGGGGGTACTCGGCAAATATTTGGCTTTTTTTTAACAATACCGGAAGTGTGAATCAAAAATCTCGAATTGTCCCTTAAAAACAAACGTGTCAAGATCGAAACCTCATTTCAGTTTTTTTTTAAAAGCTATTTTTGAAAAAAATAGAACGAAAAAACGAAAATTTTGAAAAGTTACTTTCGTATGTCAAAAATAGTTTTTCTACTATATTTCTTACAATAATGAATAAATATTAATGAAACTTCCGACAAACTTGCAGTATACCAAGTACAATAACTTGTCTATTGTGCGAAATTATTACAATTTACGGTTTTTAAACAAATTACAATTATTCATTACGCCCCTTAGCCATTACGCCCCGGTCTCCCCTAAATGAAATATTTTATTATTTATGAAAATAATTTAATCTTTTCGTAGAATATTGTATATCAACAAGTCTTTTCTATAATTAAATCTGTTGATAAAGTTTATGAAAATAGTAAATATTTAAAAACATTAAATTGTGAAAAATTTTTAAAAATAATTGAAATGTTGCAAAGAATTTTATTTAAATTTTTGAAAATCATTGAATTTTTGGCGAAAATTTTTTTCTCTATATTTATAAAAATAATTGAATTCTTGACGAGATATTCATTAAAATTTATAAAAATAATTAAATTCGTGCAAAGTATTTTATTAAATTTTGTTTAAATAATTGAAATTTTTTAAGAATTTAATTAAAATTTTTGACAATAATTGAATTCTTGAGAAGAATTTTGATATTTATCAAAATAATTGAATTTTAGAAAAGAATTTTAATAAAAATCGTTAAAATAATTGATTTTATGGGGAGAATTTTGTTGGTTATCAAGATAATTGAATTCTTTTGCAGAATTACTTAAAAATTATTGAAAATAATTATTGATTTTCTGAGACGAAAAAAAGAGGAGAAATTTAGGGGAAATTTTCAAAATAGGTACCGTTTAGAGGCCAAAATTAAAAAAAGGGGACTTTTAGGGAAATAGTTGGGGACAGACTGTACTCTCTAAATTTGAATCAGCGAAAAGTCGCTGATTCACCAGCCCAGAGTATGCAGCTGATGAAACAGCGTATATACGCTGGAAAATCAGTGCATATACGCTGTTTCATCAGTGTATATACGCTATTTCATCAGCTGCATACTCTGGGCTGGTGAATCAGCGACTTTTCGCTGATTCAAATTTAGAGAGTAAAGCCTGTTATTATATCTAAAAAAATTTTTTTATTAATTTCTTTTATTTATTATTTAAAAATTAATTTTTATACATTTCATATCACTTTCGTTCTAATCAGTTCAAATTTTCACTAATTCAAATTTGTTTTGTTATATTATTGCAAAAAAAAAATTTAATTGATTTATTTATTATTTTTCACTATTTTATAGGATGTGAAATTTATTCTCTTGCTCTTTCAAATTTTTTCGACGAATTTAATTCAAATTACATTTTGTTTAATTATTTGTTAGAAATTGAATAAATTTAAAATTAAATTTAATATATTTTCTTTTTTTAAGTCTGTTACGTTGGACAATAAAATTATTCATAATTATTATTTCTTATAAATATTCTAGAAATTGAATTTTTTTATTTGATAAAATTCCCTGACAAAATAAAACGATTTTATATAGAAGATCATTCAATCTTTTTTAATAAAATATAATTAATAAGTCATTATCTTAAAATAAATATTTGTGTTTTTTCTCACAAAATAATAAGCAGTGTTAAAAAAAAATTTTTTAAATCCCGATACTTGTAGTCTCTAAAAATGAATTCGAGGTGTATTGAAAAATCCAAAATGGTGGATCCAATATGGAGGACGAAAATTTAAAAAATAGTTCAATTTTTACAAAACTTATGGTGTCTAGGAGTTTTCGGGGTATTTGATTACGAATTTAAAGGATTAAAAGTTCCGTCGGTATACAGGAAACTCTGAAAAAAGGATAAAATTTGATAGATAAAAGTAAAAAAAAAATTCTCAAAAATTGATTAAGCCGATATACTTTTTTAACCTTATATTATATAAAATAATAAAAATTAAGGGGAGGGACCGGTAAAATTTCAATGTTTTTTTTGACAAATTTTAGAATTTAAAATTATAATATGCTTTGAAAAATTAAAAAAAATTTAATTAGTTACTAATTTTTTAAATAAATATCAAAATTTTCGTAAATAAAAATTTTGAACTACTCTTGCTATTTTCATTAATATTTACTGTCGATTTTTTTATACAGTTATTTCATATGATTCTGAACAATCAATCGTATGAATTTTTCAAAATTTAAATTTTTTCATAATTTAAATTTGATTTCTTATTTATTAATTTTAGTATTTTTCGAAAACTATAAACTTTGAAACTAATTTATTTTCTTATAATAAAATCGAGAATAAAATTTTACCGTATGGAAGTTGAGTAACATAATTGTAGGGTTGATGCCACTGAGGATAATAATCCGCTTGAGATTCATACCCCCCGAGCATTTTCAAAATTTTTGTTTTCTTCTTTTTGAAATTTTGAAAATAAATAAAAGTAAACACTAAACTTCACTCTAAATAATCCATCAAACGAACTTCATAATTTTAGTATTTTCGTTCAATTTCCATTAATTTTTAAAATATATAGTTATTTAAAATTTCATTATATTATTAAACACATCACTTTCTTCATTATTCCATTGTAAATTTGTTACTGCACTTTCAAGTATTTTTTAATTTTCTTTGTTATTCTAAAAAGAAATTTGTTTTTTTAATTCTTCTTTAAAATTTGGAAAAAGATGAGTTTTTTTTTGCGAAATTTACAAATATTTTTCACGACACTTTCAACACAAGGTACGCGTGTGTATAATATTTGAAAAATGAAGAAAAACAAAAAATTGAGATTGGCGCGGTTACTTTTTTTTTAAAGACGCGTGCGCGATCACGAGTTTCGACAAAGTGATACTAATCTCACTCGTTGGATGCTGAGCTACTCCAACCATGAGTACTCTCATCTTTTTCAAGGGAGTGGTTTCAAGTAGGTCCGCCTTTCGAGGGGCGTTTACAATTGACTTTTGGTATAAACTTCGATTACAGAATTCAATTAGTAAATTGGAGAGAACTTGGTGTGAAATATCTTTTAGGGGGAGAGGTGAGTAGTTGGAGGAATGAATGTGATTTACAACCCCAACGCCATCATTTGCTTCTCGATTACAAGTTATAATTGAATTAAGAAAAAAAATTTTTTTTTATTTAAAAAAATTATAACCGCGACAAAAGTTTTAATATTGAAACCTTTTGAAATTGAATTATTTTTAAAAAAAATTTTTTAAATATATATACATCTTTTGTAAAATTTAATTATTTTAAAAATATTTACGCGTGACAGGAAGAAATTAAGATTTTCCATAATATATTTTGATAATTACATTGTAAAAAAATTCAAAAATGATTTTACCTAAAAACGCATGGTGGCCGCACCTTAGAGCCGGGACAACATAATCGTGGGTGGCAGAAACTATATTATATTTAAGGGTTTTAGACTCCTGGCGGCAATTCGCATTTCTTATGAAGCTCGTGAAGAAATGTAAACAAAAACCCTAGTTTTTAACATTGCACGTGTCCTACGTCCATAAATCATTAACGAACGAACTCTATATAACTTTTTTTTAAAAACAGAAAAATTATTACACGCGCAAGAAGGAAATGAGTCGAAAATATGTTCCTTAAATTATACCAAAATATATATAAGTATATATATGCGACACTTAGAAACAGTCTAATATAAAAAAAAAATAAAAAAAAAAAAATTTAGACATAAGGACAACTTATCTACATGGGCGTATGTTTGATTAAATTTGGATTATTTTAAGAGGCCTCACGCCCCCTTTTCATGAAAAAATCTACTGGGCCAATTCGGCCATTTGAGTCAGAATAATTGCAAGTAAAATTTAGAAATATGATAAACATCAAAAATAAAACATGAAAAAATTAAAGATAACCGAGTGATAAGATCATTATTTTATATAATAGAAATATTTTTACTGTAATTTTGTCAGAATTACTTTCATCCATTTTAATTCAATTATTATTTTCTAGAATTTTGTAAATAAAATTCTTCTTTTTCTTCTTTTTTTTTTCTTTTTTTTTCTTCTTTTAAATCTAATTGATAATCTAATTTTTGAAAAAGTTCTTTGAGAATTCTCAAATTCATTTGGTTTACATTATTCAATTTTACGAAATTTCAATTATTCATAAATTTTTCAATTAAAATAAAAAAAAATTGAATAAATAAAATAAAAAAAAAATTCAATTTTTGAAAAAGTTCTTTGAGAATTCTTAAATTCATTTGTTTACATTATTCAATTTTACGAAATTTCAATTATTCATAAATTTTTCAATTAAAATAAAAAAAAAATTGAATAAATAAAATAAAAAAAAATTCAATTAAACTTTATCTAAATAATTAATTTTACAGAATTGTTGGTTACAAGTATATATGAAAAATTAAGATTTTCAAAGGAATTTAATTTGAAACCTTTTCAAAATTCAATTATTTTTTAAAATTTTTCCTATATAATTGCTTTTAATATTCAAATATTATTTAAATATTTGAGTAATTTGAATAATAAATATATTCAAATCTAAAATTTTAACTAAAATTAATTTTTAAATCAAACATTTTATATATAAAATTTAATTATTTAAATAAAAAAAAAAAATAATTCATTGGAATGTTTCTTAATATTTAATTCTCATAAAGTATTTTATCAAAAGACATTTTTAAATATTTGATTGCTATATGACGATTTTTAATAAACATTTAATAAAACATGGAATTTAACGATTTTTAATAAAAAAATATTGTTAAGAACAATCACATTTTTCGAGAAATTCGATTAAAAATGTATTATAAAAAATAATTGAAATTCTGCGATGAATTTTATTTATGAATAATAATTGAATTTCTAAAAAGAATTTTATTATTTTATATAGAAAATAATTCAATACCTGTAAAAAATTCGATTATTATTTTATAAAAAAATAATTAAATTATTGCGAAGAAATTTATAAAAAAAAAATTGTAAATATAATAGCGAATTCATAATTATATAATGAAATTGAAGAAAATTTTTGAAAATAATTGAAATTTTGCCACAAAATTTTATTAAAAATTTTTAAAAAATTGAATTTTGCCAGGAATTTTATTAAAAATTTTAAAATTATAATTGAATTTTGGAAAATAATTGAATTACTTTTGAAAATAATTGAATTTATGCAATCATTTATAATTTTTCCAAAATTCAAGTTTTTTTTAGTTTTTTTTTTTTTTTTTTTGAGTAAAATGCGTCTATAAATGCAATATTTTTAATAATTTTTTTAATTCATGAAAATAATTGTATTTCTGTGAAGAATTGTGTAAAATTTTTTTTTTAATTAATTGAATTCTTACGAGAAATTTTTACAAGTTTACAAGTTTAACGGGTTATACCCTTGATTACATTTACGAAAAATAGAAAAAATTATAATAGTATAAAAGAACATATATATAAGCAGTAGGCATGTAATCATCAAGCAGTATCCTATGCCATTTAAAACGCACCATTTATCCGCGTGACAAATTCAATTGTGCTTTTAAGAGCAGAGGGTATGAAGAGTCAAAAAAATCTAAAAATTATTTAAATAAATTTTAAATAATTTTAAAAACCAAAAATTGTGGAATATGACACATTTTCTCATAACTTTTTTGTTTGCAAATTTTTCTTTAACTATTTAAACTATTATATCAAAAATACTATAAGACTATATATATATTGTAACCTCAATATTTTTCTCAAACAATGATTTAGTTTCAAAATTCAAACAAAATAAATTTAGCAAGAATTAATAAAAATTTAAGGTTACTTAGGAACGATTAAATATAATGCAAAAGGGTGGGCGCCAGTCCTAAAAGGACACTCAACAAAATTCACAAAAGGGACAAAACAGATTTTTAAATAATCCCGAATAAACGAAGGCCACCAGGCTAATTACCGGCAATTATTTAAATTAAATTTATTTATTATCGACACACGAGGCCACCAGGCTAAGTGTCAATCAATAAACAAATACACAACAAAAAGATAAAACCGTTTGAGACAAACTAATTATCAATACACAAAGGCTACCAAGCTAAGTATTAATAATTTTTGTATTTATCTCAAAAGAAACAGAAACAAAATTAAGACACCAATTTAATCTTCCTAAAATATGTCCAGGCTAACTACAGTCCCATAACTTGGAAAATAGTAGAGGGGGTGATTCGTTATTTAACCAAAAATAAATATCCGCAAAATTAAGTCAATAAAAATCAAAAATTAACAAAAAGAAATTAACAATTTATTCAATAAATTAGAATTTCAAGGTTAGACACATAAATTAAATCAAATAGTCATTTTGACAATAATAAAATTGATGTGATTCTATATAATTTCAAAATTAATTATCGAAACATTTAAATTTGACAAACTGAAAATTAAGCAAATATTAAACTTATTCTAAAATATAATAAGGATTCTTTTTCAATTCGAGATATAAAAGATGGACAATACAATCAGAATTATAATCTTGACTTTTAGTCAGATCAAAGAAAAGAATTAATAAACGAATGATATCTCAATAAAAATTAAAGATTTGAATCGTTAAATTAAAGCAAAAATAAAGACATTCAGTCTCGAAAATCAAGAAAAGAGAATTACATTTTGAGATATCATACATAAAATAGAAATTAAATTTGTACCAGAAAATATAATACACGGCCAACGAATTTCCAATTGACAACTCCTCTCGAGATTCCCACAATGGTTTTGACTTAATTCTCCAAAATTATTCAAAATTAATTAGATTCTTTAAAAAAAAGAAAAGAAATGACAAAAAAAATAGATAACAAAAATAAGACGACTTGTCTCTCACGATTTCACAAAAAGAATGAATAAAATGGCGTTGTTTGTTTATCACCTAGGAAATTCGTTGCCAACATAAAAAAAAGAAAGTCACATAACAAAACTAGATTCACGCGACATTAAAACGAATTGTGATTGGTTAATCCAGGAATCTTCTAATTTTCTCACGCTGATTGGTTGGTCTGAATAAAAAGGAAATTTAAATCTTCTTAAAAATGAATTCTTCAATTTTGATAAAATACTGGATTCTTGTTATTCTTCATAATAAATTAATTCGAAAGGAATTATTTTGACGCAAGATGATAAATTATCAAATCCTCTTCCATATAAAATTAGACGTGGTGAATACCAATTGTTGTAATCCCAGAAGACTATAAGCGACACTTACGCACAAAGACTGGACGACTGAATATCTCCCGATCCCAAACTTACATTGATATACAGGAACGTGAAAATTATAGGGTTCAATTAGAGTTTCGAGCAAAGCTCGCAAAATATGATAAATCCTTCCAAGGACAGAAAATTGTTAAGTATTTCTCCAGGAAACGAAGTCGATCTTCAAATTTAGAGTAGTAAAGACAATAATATTGAGTGGCATCTTAAAAAGATCCAATTCCAAGGGTACGTCAGAAGAATAAAATCCACAATAATCAGAAAATCCAATATATCCAAAAGATAGCTTATGTTTGACCAGCGGGAAAATCCAAAAAGATGTAATTTTGACAAAATAGATGAATTGAAATAAATAATCCGAAAGTTTCTTGAAATCTTCAAGCTTCTTATCTTCAGGCGGTAGACTCGACCATTACAGATAATATTTTACATGAAACGAAAGAAAGGATAACAATAATTGTGACGCGATCTGAAGAAAGGGACCTTAGAAGCAAATCATTTTAAGGTTGGGTTAGAGTTACTTTTTTCCTGTTTGAAAGTTTCTTTTTACTTATTTCGAATTAAAATCAGTGTTTATTAAATATTTTAGTTTTAATGAAGACTTA